TTTTTTTTTTTTTTTTTCTGCTCTCCGAGTTTTCTTTTTACATTATCTTCTTCGCTAACTCTTACACATTCCCGCGGATCGGTCCTGAACTATTAGCTTGGTTCCTGGAGGGGAGGTTCTCTCTGTCTGCTCCGGGCCAACATATCACCTGACAGCTTTGCTCAGAGCTGCAGTTTCTGCCGACCTGCCGGTACTTTCGGGGCTGTCCGTGCGACACACGTTGCTGTGCTCCGCGCACGGCTGCTTCCCACGCCGGGGCTGTCGGGGCGCGCTCCGTGCAATTATTGGCCGGGACTCTATGTGCCGCTGTCGGACAGTGATGAAACTGGGGCTCTGGCGGCCMGTCCCCGCTCGGAGCAGGGATGAGGCAGACACAGCCTCAGAGAGAGCCTGGGAGTGAGTCACTGCTGTGCTGCAAAGCAATGCCCGTCTCCCTGCCGCACGGCCGGTTCCCGGGGCGCTGTGGGGAGCGGCATGAAGGGGCGAGCTGAGGATTTCTAGTGGAGGGGGGGAGGCAAACCGCAGAGGCGCGGGCGGGGAGAGCTGCCGTCCTGTGCGATGAAAGGTGTTGCTGCAAGGAGCCGCCGGGTGACGACGGGGCAGGTACTGAGTTTCTTGGTTTTGCTCGGCGTTTTCGACTGGGCTTCCGCCGCGATCCGCTATGCGATTCCCGAGGAGGCGCGGAGAGGCTCCGCAGTGGGAAACGTGGTAGCTGACCTAAAGCTGGACCTCGGGCGGCTGGCGGATCGCCGGCTCCAGGTCGTGTCCGGCGGCAGTAAGAAGTACTTCAGGGTGGATCTAAAGAGCGGCGCGCTGCTCGTGGGCGAGCGGATAGACCGAGAGGAACTCTGCGGCACCGTGTCTCCCTGCTCCTTGAGCTTTGAGATCTTGGTGGAGAAGCCGCTGGAACTGTATAGCGGCGTCGTAGAGATCCAGGATATCAATGACAACGACCCAGTTTTCCCGAGCAGACAGACGAGGCTGGAAATCAGCGAGTCGGTGGCGCCCGGGGCGCGCTTCCCGCTAGAGAGCGCACAAGACGCCGATGTGGGAATTAACTCTTTGCAGACTTACCAGCTGAGTGCCAACCCGCATTTTGTCCTGGATGTGCAGACGAGGGGAGATGGTAGCAAGCATGCAGAGTTGGTTCTAGAGAAGGAGCTAGATAGGGAGGAGCAGCGGGAACTTCTCTTGGTCCTGACCGCGCTCGATGGAGGCAGCCCGCCRCGGTCTGCTAGCGTGCAGATCCACATTGACGTTGTGGACGCCAACGATAACGCCCCAGTCTTCAACCACTCCACCTACAAGGCGAGCGTGAAGGAGAACACGCCCAGTGGCACCCTGGTGGCCAAGATCAGCGCTTACGATCTGGATGATGGGCCCAACGGAGACATCGTCTACTCTTTCAGCAGCCACACATTGGCAAAGGTGCGAGAACTCTTCTCATTGGACTCGGCCACGGGAGAGCTGAAGGTCAAAGGGCAGCTGGACTATGAGGAAACGAAGCTGTACGAGATTTATTTACAAGCTAAAGACAAGGGCGTCGTTCCTGGCGTAGCTCATTGCAAAGTGCTGGTGGAAGTCGTGGATGTGAACGACAATGCTCCGGAGGTGACAGTGACCTCTGTGTATAGCCCTGTGCCTGAGGATGCTGCCCCAGGGACAGTCGTAGCTCTGTTGAGCGTAACAGACCTGGACTCCGGGGACAACGGTCTGGTGAACTGCTTTATTTCCCCCGGGATCCCATTCGCACTCAGCTCCTCCCTCAAAAACTACTACACGTTGAAAACGAAAGAGGCTCTGGATCGCGAAGAAGCATCAAAGTATAACATCACTATCACTGCCAGGGACTTGGGCTCACCACCYTTGTCTGCAGTAAAATACCTCCTAGTTCAGGTTTCGGACGTCAATGACAACGCACCCAAGTCTCTCCAGGASCACTACGACGTATATGTGCCGGAGAACAACGTAGCTGGCATCCCTATCCTAAACATAAGTGCCACAGATCCGGACCTGGGGCCCAACTCCCGTCTCTCGTATGTCCTTCTTCAGGGTGACCCTGCAGTGAGCCGCCTCTTCTCCATCAACCAGGAGAATGGCACCCTCTTCCTGCTCGCCTCCCTGGACCATGAAGACCAGGTGAAGTTTAGCATGATGGTGCAGGTCCATGACGGTGGTTCTCTACCGCTGTCCACCAACCTATCGGTCAATGTATTTGTCACAGACCTCAACGACAACGCCCCAGTCGTGCTGTATCCTCGTCCCAACTCGACTGACGTGGTGGAGCCAGGCACTCCCGCCAGGCATATGGTCACCAAAGTGGTGGCTGTGGATCCAGACGTGGGGTATAACGCCTGGATYTCGTACACCTTGCTGCAGGCTACTGACCCCAGTCTCTTCTCGGTTGGGCTGCACAGCGGAGAGGTCCTCACAGCACGACAACTCCGAGAGGATGAGACGCCCCAACACACGCTGGTCATCCTGCTGAAGGACCACGGAGAGCCTGCGCTGTCTGCCAGCGTCACCGTCACCATCTCCGTGGATGAGATGGTCAAAGAGACACTCATTGACCTCACGGACATGGCGCCCGCCCACGACTCCAGGAGGCACGTGACTTTCTATCTCATCCTGGCTGTGATTTTAGTCTCGGCGGCTTTCTTCATCACCGTAGTGTCCGTGGGCATTTTCAAGTGCTACAAATGGAGGCAGTCGAAGGAGCTGTTCAACAACTCCAGGAGCACCCTGTACAGGACGCCGGGGCCTTTCCACCACATCGATGCTGTGCGAGGTGGCATCACACCGCCCAATTTCTACCATCAGGTTTATCTCACCACAGACTCCCGCCAGAGCGATGTCCTGTGCAAAAAGCCCTTCACTTCCAGCCCCCTGGGGAGCCGCCAGAACACCATGAGGAATGGAGAGCCGGGACTGTACCATCAGATCGTGGGCACGGCCAGCCGGCTCCCCAAGCCCGCCGAGGTAACACAACYGCCTTCCTCACCGGGGTCGGGCCGTGACTGGTTTGTACCGTACGCGCGTGGTAGTGGGTCGGGCTCGGAGGGAATATCGAGTCGCGCAGTCCCAAAAGGCCTTAGTGGTAGCCGAAAAGCTCTTCGTCGAATGAGCCGTCTCGAGAGCCGAAGGAATTTGCACACAGGGAGCAGGATCAAGCGGCAGTGTTGACTTGGTTTAGCGAGCACTTATCTTTTTCAGGAAGTTTGGGGCTTAGCAGCAATGAGAAGCCGACGGATTCGGCTGAGAGTAACCTGAAACCGCCTGCAAACCATCGTTAACGGTGCTAACGGTGTTGCCTTCCCTCGGTGAAATGAGACGTGAGAGCCAGGTAGGGTGGCAGCCTTTGAGCGCTGCGCTCTGGTGAGGGCCAGGAGAGGTTGTGGTGGGAGCTGGGCTGGGTCCCGGCCGTTCCCGCGCCTCTAGGCCTTGGGAGCCGCTGGATGCTGGCAGAGAACCGGAGCATCCCATCCCACGGTGTGGTTTGCAAGCGAGGCCGAAGGATTCCWATGGTCACTCCGTTTGGTAGGCAGTAGCAGCAGAGCAGGGCATCCCGTCTGTGTCTCCCATCGCGTTTGATTCCTGATTGTTTCAGTTTCATTGCCGTGCCTCTGAGCAGGGCGATGAGCGTGTCACCTGCTCGTTGCTTTAGCATCCCAAACGATCTGCAGTGTGATGAGTAATACTCGATCGCCGGACTGAGCAGACCGCAGTCCGAAAGCGTTTGAGCATGGCAGGCAGCTTCTGTGCTTCTTTCCCGGTGGGAATTTTGCAGATTAATTTGAGAGCTTGCAGCTACGGAGACGCTTCCATCATCAGGGGTGAAACCGAGGGGTGGATCCGGCGGAAGGGGAAGATCCGGGAGGTTTCCAAGGCTGACAGTGCCGGTAATGCCTGCCCTCAGGGGAGGTCCTGTATAGAAACGACCTGTTCCTCGGAGCATAAGGAAGCGAGACGCAGCGGGAGCCGTGGGTGGCGTGGGCTGCATGTAACACCTGCCTGGAGTGGTCAGATCGCGGCAGGAGGCAGAAATATTTTATGCTCCCCCCTCTCCCGATCTCCGCCTCCGTTGCTCTTGCGACTCAGCGCTTCCGATCTGTCGCAGGCGAGAACGGGCTGCGGCAGCTGCTGCAGCAGCGCATTTCCTTCTCCTGTGCCRGTGGCGTTACATACGGGGACAGGGATGTCCCGCCCCCGCTGTCCCGCCCCCCCCCCGCGAAGGGTGCAGGCAGAAAGCCTCAGGAAGGGGACACTAAATGCTTTGAAAGTGGAGATGGGTGGGTCCCAGGTGGGTCTGTAAGCAGCTGATAATGGGCAGGCGACAATCAGGAGCCCCAGTCATCAYCCTCCACCCAAAACCACTCCAGAAAGGCACTGTTTGGGAGAAGCCGACTGCTYCGAGGCGCGGATTTTCGGTCTTCATGGTGAAAGATGATTCATGGATCGTGCTAAACCCATAAATGTGTCTCTTCGCTTTACGGGACTCGCGACAGCAATGCGGCGGGGACCACATTGCCTGTCGGTCCTCAGCCTCCGTGCTGGCCCTGGGCAGGACAGGCGGCATGTCCAGACCATTTTTCGGTCCCTGACACTCCCTTGCGCCGAAATCCCCCATTCAGAGATCGGTTGCTTGTCATTCTTGTAGATTCCTTGCAGGATCTTCGGTGATCCCTAGATTCCTTTCAGCTGGGCTTCGCTGGAGCCTTTTCGCAGGGCGAGATGGAACGGGATATCTCCTTCTCCATCTCGGATACCACGCCACGACACCCCYTGGCCTGGCTTGCTAACATCGATCATCCTGATCCCGGGGCTTGGCGGACACTGTCCGCCGCAGCCCCTCAGTGACTGAGCCCTCTGAGAGCGACTGACTCTGTGAGCGGATCCCCCGATCCTGTGGCCTTCGCAGGAGGCTTCTGGCGAGGCAAACCTGCTCCGCAAGAATTCCCACGGAAGCAGTGTCCTGTGTTGCCGCCCGCGATATGCTGTCCTTATCTAGCTCCGCCGTTGGCGGGGGAGGCGGGGAGGAGGCTGTCATTGATGGGCCCTGGAGCCATCGGAGCGGCAAGGGAAAGTCCCACCTGTACGTGGGCCGCAATCGAAGTTTCTGCAATGGTTTTCTGCTAAGGGAACCTCTGGAAGCCTTCGGGGCATGAGCAGGTCCAAGATTATGTCTGTTTCTGGACAAGGGGRAATTCACTCTTCCAGTGTTTTCCCGAGTTGGTCCTTTAAGAGCCCCTGCTCCTTTCTCTGCAGTGGGCAGCAGGTGGGAGTTGGACCGCGCTTTTCACCATTCTAAAGATTCCTTGAGGAGTTAGGCCCAGTCTCTCTCTCGCTGGCAGCAGAGAGGTCCCACCTCATGGCTCTTTGTGAGGGGCAGTGGAGAGGAAGGAGACCGATCTGAGGCCGAGGGGCCCTCAAGGGCAGCCCTTCTGGCAGTATTCGCAGTGGGCAGACGGTCCCCGAATGCAGGTGCCATCTCCATCCAAGACTAAAATGACTGTGTCTACGGTAGTTCACTTTGTGAGACCCTGGCCTCTTTCAGCTATGCTCCTGAGGCACTTTGTAGGCCGAGGTGATGAGGGCAAACATGGATCCTGGGAGGAGCGAGCTTCCCCGTGTCCTGCACAACCGCTGACTCCTGACCCTTCAGGGTCTTCAGGCACTCAGGGAAAGTCGTTTCCCTGAGCGCTCTGGGGGCAAGACTCTTCAGGGCATGACCTTGGAAGGACTCTGCAGGGACCTGAACTATGCGGAGACTTGCCACTRTTCTCTAGGCTGGAGATGTGGGACAGCAGGGGTGGTTTCCTTCTCTGCTACCAAGTACTGAGGCCAAGGCCGCAACTTTTGCTTGTGGAAAGTTCTTTAGATTACAGAGCTATGAGGCAGGATATATGATATATGTTGATACATGTGTCTGTTGATATATATGTTGATATATGTGTCTGTTAGGTGACAGAGACAGGCCTCTGTCTCAGTCTGATGTCCTGATCTAATGCTGTGATCTAGTGATGTTCTGGGTGGTGTTTTTTTTTTTTTTTTTTTTTTTTTTTTTTTTTTTTTTTTTTTTTTTTGTCTGATTCCATGTATCTGCAGCAACTTGGGCATAGTGAAGCCTTACCCATTCCTTGTGCCAGGATAAGGAAGTGGCGTCCAGCCAGACACGTACAGTGAACAGTTCTATTGCAGCTCTGAGGAATTCATCAATATCTGCCGTCCCACCTCGTGCTTCCTCCCAAACCAAGCTGTTTTGGACGTCCTTGTCTCTCAGTAGGTTCTGCTCCTAAGCGCAGGTAGCACAGGGGGCAGAGGTGCCTCTTTATAAGGACAATCCTGGAGTGGGAGCAAAGCACCCACTGCGAGGGAGGAAAGGGGAGGGAGGGAAGACGTGTCCCTGRCGCCTCGGGGCTTTAACAAGCACCTTTTCATAGAGCATGAAACGTGCTCTGGCCCGCAGTCACTACAGCTGCCCTTTGTTCGCGCGTGAGATCCGAGGCCACCGCCGTGGGAGCGGGAGCGCACAGGGCGGGCGGGCACCCAGGCGGCTTCCAGGACGCGCCGTTTCCCTGAGAGCGGGGGAAGGAGCCGCTAAACGAGCTGCCGGAGCAAGTGACTCAGAGCGGCGCAGCGCAAGCCCGGGGGTGGCGGCCCCGCCGCGGCGGGTTCGAGCCCCGCTCCCCGCTGCTCCCGGGGCGCTCGCCATTGGGCGAGCGGGRCCGGAGCGCTCCGCCAATCCGGAGCCGATCTGAAGCGGGGGGATCTGCTCCCCCGGCGCCGGGCTCTGATTCAGCTCCCCTCCCCCAGCCCACCCCCTCCGCTCGGAGGCTGGCAACGGGAGCCGCTGCCTGCCAGAGCCCCGGAGCCGCTTCCCGAGCCGACCAAGAGAAACCCGGGGATTTTTAGCAGCTCCTTCCCCGGTGCCTGCTGCGTCCTGGGCCAGGACCCAGGCCAAACGCGTGTGGACATGGTGCGTGTCAGCCTCCAGCAACTCGCTTGGAAATGGCAAGTACTGAGTTTGTTTTCGCTCTGCGGCTGGGGCTGGGTCTCCGGGCAGATCCGCTACTCGGTGGTTGAGGAGTCGGAGGTGGGGACCGTGGTTGGGAACGTGGCCAAGGACCTAGGCTTGAAGGTGGAGGAGCTGTCCGGTCGCAGGCTGCGCCTGGGCTCCGAGGAGAGTCTGCGCTACTTCGCCGTGCGCCTGGAGAGCGGCGCGCTGGTGGTGAGCGAGCAGCTAGACCGGGAGCGCCTGTGCGGAGCCGCTGCCAGCTGCGTGCTGTCGGTGCAGGTGGTGACGGAGAACCCTCTGGAGCTCTTCCGCCTCGAAGTGGAGATCCTGGACCTGAACGACAACTCGCCGAGCTTCCCCACCGCCCACCGCACCCTGCGCATCTCCGAGTCCGCCACCGCGGCTGCGCGCTTCCCCCTGGAGAGCGCGCAGGACCCCGACGTGGGCACCAACGCCGTGAGCTCCTACCGGCTGAGTCCCAACCCCCACTTCTCCCTAGACGTCAAGCAGCTAAAAGATGGAAAACTCTTCCCGGAGCTGGTGCTAGAGCGCACCCTGGACCGGGAAGAGCACCCGGAACTGCAGCTGGTGCTGACGGCCGTGGACGGGGGCAGCCCGGCGCTCTCGGGCACGGCGCAAATAACGATCCTGGTCCTGGACAGCAACGACAATGCGCCCTCCTTTGACCGCACCGTATACAAGGTGCGAGTGCCGGAGAACACGCCCACGGGGGCCCTGCTCCTTCAGCTCAACGCGTCAGACCCCGACGAGGGTCCCAACGGGGAGGTGCAGTACTCCTTCGGGGTGCACACCCCCGACTCGGTCCGAGGGCTCTTCGCCCTGGATCCCCGCAGCGGGGAGGTGCGGGTGAGCGGGGCCCTGGACTTCGAGGAATCRCCTTTCTACGAGATCCACGTGCGAGCCCGCGACGGCGGCGTGCCGGAGATGGAGGGCCACTGCGTGC